CCATCCACTATGTCATTCCCTGGCAAGCACCAATACACCTTGATTAAGGAATCTGCAGGGTAATAGTCCAGCCTAGACAAGTTATACTTAACCGTCCCCACTAACCATGTCTTTGCATGACAGTACTCAAACACATCACGTGTGCAGCCAATGTATGGTCTCTTTGTGCCTTTTCCTATGAAAAATTCATTATGCTCAAACTCAACTAAAAAATAGATGACTTTCTTCTCCATTAGTCGGTGCCTAGATTGGGAAGATGCACTTCTTAGTTCACATAACAATTACTTATAAGTGGAACATGTACTGTAAATCACTATAACAAATACCAATTTACCCGTTGAACGTATGAACTTACAATGTGCTAAACATATGAACATGCACAACAACATCTACTGTAAACTACTACAACATATGAACATATGAAAAATGCATTGAGCATATTTCAAACATATGAACTATAGACTATTATAATTGACAATGCTCTCAATAGATATATAAATAAAAATCCAATTTAGATATGAACTACACATCTTCATAACTGACAATGCACTGACCATATGCACGACAAGAGCACTAAACCGAACCATGAACTAAACATCACCTGAATTACACTTTTTTTCTCATATTGCAACAACTAAAATCTACTATTTTCTCATATTATAGCAAGATTTTTTTTTTCAAAATCCACTTAGTACCAATATGCATATAACTGAATAAAGGTCATTCCATTACCTGAACTTACAAATAAACACAACAACACACAAATGTTCCCTCAAAATCAACATCACACTCTTCTAAATGAGCTTGCTTTCCCTCGCAAATCCCCTCAAAACATCCCTACATTGATGCCGTCGAAACTACCCTCTTATAAATGCCCCCCAATCTCCTCAAAACATCACATAACCATAGCCTCAATCCTCCAAGCAAATATCTACTAGGAGTTCCTCCTTACTCGTGCTACGGATACACACACAAACCATCTAAATGTTAGCCAAAACTTTCAACCAACATATATGATCATTGGCGGCTCAAAAACCTAACCAAGCAGACACAACAGTACATGGCAAACCGACTGCAGCCATGGAACAACTACATACCATATTCAGGCGAGAACTCCGCTAGTTCCCGACCGAAGACACGACTCCATGCCGCCCTCGATCACCAGCGTGAACTCCACGACGACGTCAACCTCCATGACGGTGTGACACCTGGTTCGCCTCGGAGACGTCGAGAGGGGAGGCGACGAAGATGCATGGGGTTTGGTAGGGGTGTGTGGGCCCTTGGGGTATAGTTTTTCCAATTTCCCGCACGACTAAGGACCTAAAGTACAATATGCCTGCAACTCGGGTGGTTATGCATAATTACAAGTGTGGCATGTACCCGCTGACATGGTGATTGTTTGTTGCTATAGTGGTATAGTTTAGGGGCCACTCTAGTGAGAAGTGCATAGATGAAGCCATGGGTATATGAACCCACCCTGAAAAACATATTTCTAAATGTCAAAAAATTATGAAAAAAGTCTCATGCACACATCTTTGCATTCTATATGCACACAAAAAAGTTATGTAAGAAAAATAACTTTTTCTTTGGCCTGTGCAAAAAGAAAAAAGACGTGTCATGAAACGCTTTTTAGAAGCACTGGATTTGTTACTTTCGTGGAGACAAAATAGAAATAGATTTTTCTCACAAAACTTTGTGCCGCGCACACATGTTTTGAAGATGCATACGTGAAAATTTCTTTTGAATTTTTTGACATTTTAAAACATGTTTAGAATGCATTTTTAAATAGGTTTATATGGCCATGCGTGTAGGACGTGCCCTCTCCAACTTTAGTCGGTTTTTAAGTTCTTCTTATATGACTCTATTCTCACTGGGACAAGTTTATGTTTTTTAAACTAAAATATAAAGGTAAACAATTTTTTGTCTACCACAAATGAATACAGGACTTGGGTAAAAACAAAGATACAACAGCGGGCCCACCTGCGCGCGCGCGCACACACACAGAGAGATGGATGGGTTAGGAAACTTCCCAAGCGAGGCCGAGGTGCATAGACATGAGTGGGAACGAGAACGGCCTGCCAAGTGGTACCCAGACACATACACACAGAATGGGGCTCCCGCATATAGCTGGCCAAACGGGCCGAGCCAATCAGGCCAGCCCATGAGCACACCGACACGACCCACCATGGGCCAGGCATGGCACGAGGTAAACGGGCCTTGCCCGGCACGCGGAACGCCCTGGGCCGTGCTTGGGCTGCTAGGCTGAGCACGCGGGCCGGCACGACACGGCAGGATTATCCTTTTTTATTTTATATATATATCTCTATATGCCTTAATACTAGCCCATTAGGAAAAAATAGGTCAATAAAAACGCCCAATAGGCCGAACAGCAGGCAGGCCAGCGTGCCTGCCGTGCTGGCGGGCCGGCCCGATTACCAGTTGGGCCGTGCCTGGGCTGCAGGCTGGAGCACGCGGGCCAGCACGGCGCGGCACGGGCCGGCCCGATTCCAGGCATGATTACAATGGGCCGGGCCGGCCCGTTTGGTCAGGTCTGCTCCCGCATCCCGCCATTTCCATTTCCCCACCGCCGCGCCAAATTATTTTACCGCCATTTTCTTGGCGCCAATCCCTCCATGCGCGCCTCTTCTCCGACCTATAAACGCCCTCGCCGGCCCCCCCCTCTCTCTCATCCATCCCCACCGCCGCAAGCCTCAACTCCCCACCTTCACCCAGATCCACAGAGCGGCAGAGAGATCGCCGGAGTATCAGGCCGAGGAAGAAGTCTTCAGCCAGCCGGATCTCAAGTCAGTCACCATGGTGGTCGCGCTCGGCCCCGGCAGGTTCTACGGCGGCGGCCTCCCGCGCCCGCGCGTCTTCCCCGGCGACCGCGTCGACCCGCCGGCGCCCGTCACCGACGCGCTCCTCTGCGCCAAGCGACGCGACGCGCACTGGTCCATGGGCGGGCACTGGTCCATGGGCGGGCACTGGTCCATGGGCGGGCACCTCCCGCGACGCGCACTGGTCCATGGGCGGCCTCGGCGCCAAGCGCCTCCGCCTGCAGGGCCGCATCGAGGGCAACCTCGTCAAGCTCCGCCGCACCGCGCGCCGCGACGCTCGGGTCTCCGCCAAGTCCGCCAAGGCCAAGGTCCGCGCTGCGGGGCACGGGCCCGCCCCTGCCACCCTCGACGACGCGCTCGGCTCCGACGACGACGACTCCGAGGACGAGGCGGAGGTCGCGGCCCAGGAGAAGGCGATGCGGCGCGAGGTGGTGGATGACGACGAGGACTCCGAGTCCGGTGAGTCCGAGGGCGAGGGGGTGCCGCTCGTCACCATCGCCGCCGCCGCCAAGAGGAAGCGCGTCAGGAAGCTCTCCGACGAGTTCGACCGCATCGCCGCCGCGCAGCTGGAGGGCGGCGCGAAGAAGAAGCCGCTGAGGAAGAAGGCTGCTGCTCCTGCTCCGGCCGCCGAGGCACCGGCGAAGAAGTCGCTGAAGAGGAAGGAGGTGGCGCCGGCGGCTGGGGCTGCGGCGAGGACCTCACCGAAGAGGAAGGCTGCTGAGGCGCCGGCGGCAAGGAGGACCTCGCCGAGGTCGAAGCACTGATGGATAGGTGCTCGTTTCCATTTGCAATCCCTGTTCTTGGTTCGTCAGATCGGTGGCTCTAGCGATTGTGGTGTGATCTCGGAGATGCAGTATGCTGTGTGTTCGTTGAAATGCTTGAATGGAATCTAGTTTCATGTCTTTCTATGTATGAATCAAATCCCTCAAAATGTGTCTGATCAAACCTGAGTTATCCTGAAATATAGTTCCTGTACTGATGTCTGAAAAATCTTCCTAAAATAGCAATTTCTGTATTGAGTGTGGTCTGGAGATGCGACTGATTGCTGTGTGTTCTCTTAATCTCTTTCAAACGTAATGTAATGTTTTCTTTCTATATCTGAATCAAGTCCCTCAAGCATCGTCTGATCAACCCTGAAACAATATGTTATTGAAGGGAAACCCTGAAATAATTTAGCAGTTCCTGTACTGAGTTCTGAATGTGTTCGATGCTGTTTCTTACATTTTGTTTATCAGTTCAACTGAAGCTATGATGTGATTTGCAAAATGAATTCAAGTGCAATTCCCTATCTGTTGGTGCTAACTGAGATCTGAAAGTGTTCCTTTTCTTGCTTATGTTTGATGCTATGTCTAGTAACATTTATGTTTTCCCAGGTCAGAAGCACTGATGGTGTTCGTTCCATGTGCAATTCCAGTTCTTGGTGTGTCAGATTGGTTGATCCAGCGATTGAGGTGTGATCTTTGAGATGCCGTATGTTTGTCGAAATGCTGGAATGAAAAGTAATGCCATGTATAAGAATCAAATCCCTCCAGAAATATGCCTAATCAAACCTGAAATATCCTGAAACAATTGTTCCTGTACTGAGATATGAAAATCTTCCTAAAATAAGAGTTGCTGTAATGAGTTGTGGTCTTGGAGATGCATTGCTGTGTGTTCATCGAAATGTTGGAACTAAGTAATGCCATGTTTCTTTCTATTTCTATCAAATCCCTCAAGTATTGTCTGATTAACCCTGAAATAATATAGTAGTTCCTGTACTGAAGATCTGAAAGTGTTCGATGCTGTTTCTTCCATTTTATTTATCAGTTCAGCTGAAGCTATCATCTGAATTGCAAACTGAATTCAAATGCAATTCCCAATCTGTTGTTGGTGCTGAGATATGAGAATCTCGCTTTTCTTGCTTATGTTTGATGCCACTTCTAGTAACATTTTCTTTGATCAGTTGAAACTACTACCATATGAATTGCAATCTGAATTAAGATGCAATTACCAATCAGTTCTTGTCGGTACCAGTACATGTTAAAGATTACAGTAGGAACATAGAACGAAAAGAATGGTACATTCAGACCATCAACTATAATTGGGTGTATATCTGTATCTAGTGAGCAGGGACTCTTTCCAAGTCCACTGCTATTAGTTTATAAAGCCGGAAGGGCTAGGTGATCATGCCGTGGAGTCAGAGGCCATTCGTTCGATCTCCTCTATCAGCCTCTCCTTCTCTTCCGCCATGTCCTCGTTTTGCTTCTGAAGATCCTCGATCTGCTTCGTCTGTTCTGAATCCTTCCTGCAATGACATCAGAAATTTGGGATAATTGGGCAATCTGAAGTAAACTCAGGCTAGTGAAATCATGGCAGGAATGTGACTTGAGATTGTACTCACCGGTTCATGAATGACAAGTTAAGCTTTAGTGACCTGACCTCCTTCTCTAGGTTTTCGCAGCGCTTGAGCACCGCTTGCATGTCGGTTGGTATTACCGGGGTGGAACTTCTTTCCTTTGCTTCTGCCATTCTGAACCATAAGAAGTTATTAATAACATGATCCAGGTTCTGGGTTCAATATGGAATGGTCAATGAAGTTTATAAAACTTTGATTAAGAGGAGCCCTAAAAGTATCATTCGGATCGAGGCACATGCCTTAAATTGTTTCTTGCCTTTTTGGTAATCAATCGTATTAGCAGGAAAACATATTACATGTAGATTAAATCTATAATAACCAAATTGCATAGACATACTTGCGTGTGCGCTCAACCCTGCGTTTCTTCGTAGGATCTCCTCTATCAACTGCAAAAGTTAACAAGTTAGAGCTTTCAGTGATTAAATAGCAGATGACGTAGTACTACGCAAGGTGGAGCATATTATCTTTCAATAGCCCTATGTTTCATCTAATCTACAAACATGTGCCTAGAAAGAACTTTTTCCAGTCATCATATAAATGCCGCAGATTTGGTGCCAAAAAGAACATCTTGCTGTTTCATTTACCTGCTTGTTCTGATGAGATGGATCCCATTCGTGTCAGGGCCACTCTCTGTCAATGAGTAAAATGAACAGATTAGCATATGTCATGAGAGGAATTTTTCGACATTTCTGAAATATGAATCAGGTACTACCTTTCTTTCATCCTTCAAATTATCTTTTAGTACCTTCTCTCTGTAATCTGCACATTGTTGACATTATACATTCAGTGTTATTCACCCATGGCACAATGATAACGACAATTCTAAAATACAGTAGATCCCAAGAAATATTTGACATCCATTGTACTGCCTAATAGATGATCATTTATGTGGCAAGATATAGCTTGGCAATAAGTGTATAATTGAAGTACCTTTGCCGTTTGATCTGCAGTCAGCTGTTCCATTTGCAACATTTTTCCTAGTGCTCTCACACATAGACAATGATTGCCCCATAGGACGTAGCTCATCACATACTTCAAAACCGGCTGATTGAGCCGTCAGGGCATTAGATGATCCACTCTGTGAAGGTTCGCGAGACGCTGTACTGATCCAAATCTGGCTCGCGGGGGCAACAAAGTTCTCGGCGTTTGGTTCCGTGGGCCTCTCGACTTCAGGAAGCATCAGGGAGTCCTGAACATGTCCATTTGTCACCAGGGGGAACATATCTGTTCCTCCAATAATGTTATGTTGAAACTGCTGGTTGTCGTAAAACCCAAAAGGGTTGCCATGTGGCATGTCTCTGTTGGCAGGGCTACTGAGCTTCTTACGCTCGAGCGTATCCTTGAGCATGCTCACCACCGATGTAACAGTATCTTGCGCAAGCATATGAGGATTGTCCAAGGGGGAAGTCGATGAACATGAAGGAGATACAAATGTCGAAGTCTGCAGTGGAGTGCTGCCCATTGGGGCACTGTTTGCTGCACTTGTGTTGGTAAAATCTAGTCTCAATTGGTTTGCTGCTCTCATAGTTCCTGTAGTTATTGGTGACACGTTACTTTGCATTGCAGCATATCGCCTCCTGCAAAAGATGGCTGGGTTTGAGAAATAATGGAATGAAGAATCATAAAGTTGTGCTACAGAAGGTAATAATGCACATGTAATTGGTGATTCAATTCATGCCTCAGTTCTGAAGATCTGCTTCTAGTCATTGGTTGAGTGCAGTGAAACCAGGTCTGCTTATGAACAAATACCGCCTTTTACCCATTAGAATATTATCCACGTAGATGTAATAATCAAGTAACTGGATGATGGGATGGCTAACCTTTGCCAAAAGTAGATCACTGGCTTGCATCCCTTTCTCTGCTGCATTCCTGGTGTATGATAAACAAATAAGTTGGAGATTGCATAAATCCCTGACTATAAGGTGATGCTGGTTCATAAGATACATTACTTGAGTGGTTGCTGGTTGTGGTTATTCATGTATTCAGGAGGAACTGCACAATTCTCAGGGATCAAGTTGTCGGCGAGAAAATTTTGTCGAGCAATGTCATGTTGTTGATTAGGAAAGGCACCTGCCTCTGATGACAACCTGCATAGATATAAATTGTTATGATATAGCACTAACCGTCAGTTTTGACAGGCAGTGCCATGCTAATGTCTCTCGGTGCAAAGTTCAGCATCATTTACATGCTAGATAGAAGAAAGAAGTTCCATGGACATGCATAATCATAACAAAGCATGACTAACGTGTGATTTCTAACCATTACTTGTGTTTATTATCTTCTTAGGTGATTACCGTATTGATGCGTGTAAGATTTGGGTGCCTAAGGTTATGTACTTTCTCTTGATTCAGCTTCTTTTGCAAAGCCTTGGTAACATATTCAGTTGCTGAAATTGATTATATTATTTTCACTTTATGTAACACAGTTATTTATTCATCAACTCAAACCTTCACATATCACCCAATACAATTAACCCTTCACTCTTTATCAGCATCATACCTAGATGGTTGTCGAGGCCGATTATTCAGGTGACTAAAGCCTGGAATCTGTGAATAAAGAATCAAGAACTTTAGGTGATAGATTTCAAGCAAAAAGATCAACCTGGCATAGTAAATCATCATCATTAACTCCAAAACAATCCTAGAATTTTTTTATGTAATATTAAACAATAAATGACTAGCGAGTGATCTTCATTAGTGTAAGAAATTTTCTTCTGAACATGATATAGGTTTCACTTTGCATGCACAGAGAGGAAAAACTGGCAGGAAACTTCAACTTTTTCTTTCTCAAAAGGAGAAAGCGTCAAGATGATGCTGGTCTTACAATCCGAAAACCCCAAAAGAGATACCAGAAAGAACACAAAGCAGATGAAAAGCAAAAGAAAGTGCTTGAAACTCTCAGAATTCTTGCCTCTCCATTCATCAGCCAGCTGTTGAACAACTCCTCGCTGTCTTCTCTGAAGCTCTGTGTCATGTTTCTGAACCCCATCATTTCCATGCTCGGCGGTGCTGCCACTCCGATCGAGTTCTCCATCACCGCCTTGAGGAAGATCTCCTCGCTGGTGTTCCTGAACAGGTCAGACAGACCCCGGCCCTCCATCTCCATGAACTCCTCAGCTCAGCTCACCTCACCTCTGCTGATGATTGACTGAAATAGTTCCTAAAAGCTGTCTTTAGTACTAGTGCACTTGTTATGTGGAACAAATAAGATATTGTAAAATAGAATCCCACCTAAAACACTCATTAAACTAAGAACGGTACTTGGCAGAAGAACTCAGGCACACAAGACACTAGGCTAATTTAAAAACTGCGATAGCCTGACACTAAACTAACTGATTGGGGTATCTTCCCTGCAGTCAGAGGCAAAGATTCCATCCTTCTCATTTTTGTCTCATCAGTGGAAAGAACTGGGCTCTGTAGAATTTGTCTGCTTACCCGTCGAAGAACAGGTGTACCCTAGGAGGCTTACATCAGGCGGGTATGAACACGGAAACTGCACGCGATTTCAAATGGATGCTCTTTTGATCATGGTCTGCAAAATTGCAACACAAAGGTCAGACAAATCTTCTATAGGTGCTCTTGGAATATTCTTTTTAAGTGATATTTTTTTCTCCCAAGTCATCAAACGTTTCTATGATTAATATTATCATTGTGTTCTTAATTTTTCTTTTCCCCAAATGGTTTAATAAAATAGCAATTTGCTGCCAGGGGGTGACAGCATGAAGGATGACGCATGCTGACATAATATAATGCAGGATTTGCAAGAAGTGGATGGCCAGTCCCCAGGATCTCATCACAGGCTTACAAGGTAAAACAACTCTCATCTTGTTTAGTCGTTGATGCGTGTTGGTTGGTGCCTTGACGGCGATGGCCTTCTGGACATTTCTGCTGCCACTGTCAATTACTTATTATTGCTACTAACTAAATCACAACTGTATGATTGGGTGGGTAATCAGCAAACGCCCTGCAAATTGCCTGTTTTAAAATGAACTGCAGACATATTAACCGGTGCAGAAGAAAGTAATAACATGGTTACGCTCACTGTCAAAGTAAAAGTATGATATTACACTGATACTGACCTTAATGGCCCCATTGCCATTTACAGGAGGGCTTTGACCAAGTTCTCTATCGACCGCCTGTCCAGATACGTTCATCATTGATGGCGAGGCTTCTTTAGGTGGCGTGCCAGTGTCACCGGCGATCGATGCCGCGGCGGCTGCAGAAGAGTATCATTGAAACAGACTTCACCTATGTTTATAATAGCTGTTGTCCATTGTTGTGATCGCTGGCAGCCGACCCTGCCGGCGCATGGCCGCGCTTCGCCACCAACGACCCGGGATGATTGAAGAAATCTTTTCGCAGAAAATTTCTTACCGCTGGAGAAATCTTCTGAGCAAGTGATGCAAGAACAGATAAGAAAAACTGGAATGCAAAGTTCAGGCAAAGATTCCATTCTTCTCATTTTGTCTCATCAGTGGAAGAACTGCCCCCTGAAGAACAGGTGTACCCTAGAAGGCTTACATCAGGCAGGTATGAACCGAAAATTGCAACACAAAGATCAGACAAATCTTGTATTGGTGCTCTAGGAATATTCTTTCTAAGCACTATAGTTTTCTCCAACATATGAAACGTTTCTATGATTAGTAGTACAACTGCATTCTTAATTTTCTCCAATGATTTAATATAATACTCCCTAGTTACATCCGTATCTAGACAAATCTAAGACAACTAATTCGGGGCGGAGGTAATAGTAACTTGCTGCTAGGTGGGGGTGACAATATCAATGACTCATTGATGATCCATGCTGACATAATATAATGCAACAATTGCAAGAAGTGGATGGCCATTCCCCAGGATCTCATCACAGGCCTACAAGGTGAAACAACACTTATTGCTACTAACTAATTCAACTGCAAAAATTTAAAAATCTCCCTGATGTTGTAGTGCATACATCATCATCTCACTGATGATTGGGTTGTAGGAAAATCGCTGCAAATTGCATGTTTTAAAATCAACTGGGCATTAACTGGTGCAGAAGAAAGTAATAACATGGTTACACTCACTGTCAAAGTAAAAAGTATAATTGCGCTGATAGTCTGACACTGACCTCAACGGCCTCATTACCGTTTAGAGAAGAAGAGTTTCTGACCAAAGATCTGCCTTGACCGTCCCTCCAGTCCAGGTACATCCATCACTGACGGTGATGTTTCATTAGGTGGCGCGTCGGCTTCCTCGGTGATTGATGCCGCGGCGGACGCAGAAGAGCGCATTGTGTTTGAAAGCGAAACCTCGTCTATGTATGTTTGTTAATTATAGCTGGCCCCCATCATTGTGAACGCCGGCGCACTGACGGACGCGCTTCGCCGCCGATGACCCGGGACAGTTGAAGAAATCTCGTCTGAGAAAGCTTCTCATGAGTCATGGCTGGCTGGAGAACTCATCGGAGCAGCAGGCGAGGGAAGTTTCTCATGTCTGGCTGGACTGGAGACATCTTCAGTGCAGGCGATGGAAGAACAGGCAAGGGAATAGAATCAGTTTAAAATGGATTTCTTATTATAAAGAAAAAAAAAAGGAACCAGGCCCACAAGTTGTGCAAATTACATTCACAGGAACTACTAGTGCTTATTACAGACATGTTATTCCATGACCAGCTTCAGGACAGCCGGGCAGCCGGCGACCAGTGTGGAGACCGGGCTCTTCATCTCTTTCTTCCGTGCTCGGCATCGCTCTAGTCTTCGCAAGGCAGTGTGGACACTGGCCTCAGGCTTTCTCATTTTCCTTTTTAAAGGTTATCTCTGGTCATGATTCTGTTGTTGAAGACAAGCCAGAGAAAATGTGGATGTGAGGTGCTACTCTTATTTCCACATAACAGGGATATACACAGGAGTAACACCTCTATAATTGGTTACTGCACGCAAAGAGCTAGTGGAAGAAACTCCAGAGCTCTCGTATTGCCAGACTAGGGAATCACTCTCCTCAGAGAGGACAAATACTATGAACTATAGCTTCCAAGTCAAACCACAGGTTCATCATAGTATGGGTATCATTAGAAGTCCTTCTGAAAGGAGAGCATGAGATTGATCCATCCCAAACCTGCTTAATAGTTTTCCCCTTCTATCTTCTCTAAGCATATATCCTTTTAACCCAGGCCCCTAGCAAATAAATGTTTTAAGTTATGGATGCTTGGGATACCCAAACCCTCATAATCTTTTTTCATAGCAACTAGAGGCCAGTTGGCTACATGAATTTTCCTATGCCCCTCAAAATCATTCCATAGGCAGTTAGCCATTTGAGTGTTCATACGATCCACAACCCACTTAGGAAATTTAAGAAGGAAAGGAGGTACATAGGAATGCTAGCCAAATAGGCTTTGATCAATATGATCCTGCCTGCATAAAAAAAAGGAGCTTTCCTCTCCATATAGCTATCCTACATTGGATTTAATCTGTAAGGGGCTGAATATGACTCCTAGACAGCTTGCCTTGATGGAGAGGCATGCCCAAATATCTAACAGGGAACACCCTAGAAGGCTTACACCAGGCAGGCATGAACAGAAAAGCGGCGCGCTGTTTCACACGAATGCCCTTTCGATCACGGTCTGCAAAATCGCAACAGAAAGATCAGACAAATCTTCCATAGGTTCTCTTGGAATATTCTTTCTAAGCATTATTTTTTTTTCTCCAATACATCAAACGTTTCTATGCTGACAAGTATCATTTTATCCTTAATTTTTCCCCAATGGGTTAATAACTTAATATAATACTGTAGTAACTTGCTGCCAGGGGGTGACAATATCAATGACTCAATGATGATGCATGCTGACATAATATAATGCTGGATTAGCAAGTGGATGGCCAGGCCCCAGGATGTCATCACAGGCTTGCTTACAAGGCAAAACAACTCCTCTTCTGTTGCCATTGGCAATTACTCATTAATACTACCAAGTATTTCAACTGTAAAAATTAAAAAATCTCCCTGATCTGGTAATGCATACACGATCATTTCACTGACGACTGGGTTGTAGGAAAACCACTGCAAATTGCCTGTTTTAAAATCAACTCCAGGAGCGTTAACCGGTGTAGAAGAAAGTAATACTAACATGGTTACACTCACTGTCAAAGTAAAGGTAAAAAAGTAATAACATGGTTACACTCACTGACACTGACCTTAGTGGCCCCATTTCCGGTTGGAGGAGGAGAGGTCTGACCAAAGATCCCCCCTGACCGGCCCTCCAGTCCAGGCGCGTCCGTCACTGACGGCGATGTTTCGTTAGGTGGCGCGTCCGCGTCATCGGCGGCGGCGATCGATGCTGCGGCGGCCGCGGAAGGGCGCCGTCTGTTTGAAAGCGAAGCCTGGGCTGGGCCGTGCTGTGTATGTTTATTATAGCTGGCGCACGTCGCTGTGACCGCCGGCGGCCGACCCCTGCCGGCGCACTGACGGATCACGGACGCGCTTCGCCGCCGATGACCCGGGACGGTTGAAGAAATCTTGTTGCAGAAAAGTTTCCCATGAAATCTTCAGAGCAGCTGGGAGATGCAAGAACGGGCGAGGGACATCTTCAGAGCAGCAGGCGAGATGCAAGAACAGGCGAAGGAATCAAATCAGTATTATAAAATTGGATTTGGTAAAGAGTCTTCAGAGATTATAATCTGCTGCAGCTGGGAGCCAGCGCTTCAGTTTCGTTTTCAGCTTCCGGGGCTGACAAAGCGGAAGAGAGACATTACGCCTTCATCTGGGACTTTTTATTTTCAATTCAGCCCATGTCAAAGACGAAATGGGCTTCTTGAGGCCCATATGCTCGCGCCAACAGGCCCACAGGCCACAGCCCGCAACGCAAGCAGTTCGAGCCTACAACCCAAACCCCCCGCCGCGTCCATGGCCGCTCGCTTATCCCCTCCTCCTTCCCCGACTCAGCCTCTCCCCCAAGCTCGCGTCGTCCGTCCATGGCGTTCACCGCGCCGGTAGGGGTGGGGGGAGCCCTTCTCCCCCTCACCCTCCGCGCGCCCTCCAGCTCCGGCTCGGCCTCCTTCCTCCCCCGCGCCGGCGGCGAATCCCGACGGCTCCGCTTAGCCGTCCCACGGAGAGGATGCGCCAGGGTAAGCTCCGCACCCAGCTCTTCGTTGCTTCCCCCTCCCCCCATGCTCCTCATGTTGATTGTATCTGGAAGCTAACTTTCGCGCGAACAGGGTTCATGACCCCTCGTTCGATTCTTCTCGACACTGTAAGAGCAAGATTACTGTCATTTTGGTCCTTTGGTTTCAGTTACAGAAAGAAACTTTTGTGTTGGAGTTACAGCAGCTCTGTGTGTAGATTAGACTGTATTGTACCATCATTCTAATTTTCAGAAGTCCTGTACAGCTTTTGTAGACGTTTGATTTGATTTTGGTGCGGTGTAGTCACTGTATTTATATATGTGACTAGGGAGATAGCCGGAGAAGATGGGATTGCCAAATGACTCGCTGTGCCGGTGAGGCGAATGTGGTGACCGAGGATGATATGGCAAATGTTGCTGCTGATGCCTCCACGGACCAAGCTGCCGATGCCAGCGGGGATGCCGCCGATGTGCTGGAGTCCTTGAACCCTGGCGACGATTCTTCAGTTGCCTGGATAAAGCAGCAGCCTCTCCCATATCCTGCAGTAAGTACTATTAGCAGTTCACTAACATTGGTGCCAAGAATGGGGTGACAGACAAGGGGTTGTAATGCAGGATGCTCTGGAGCCATACATAAGCAAGGAGACGGTGGAGCAGCACTGGGGAGTTCACCAGCGCGGGCACGTGGACAGGCTCAACGGCATGATCGGCGGCAGCGAGTGGGAGCGGATGTCGATTGGGCAGATGATGCTCGCCTCATTCAACGAGGGCAGGGAGCCACCCCACGCTCCCTTCTTCCATGCCGCACAGGTAGCATTTCGATACTACCGGGAACCATCTTTCATGGCTTGCGTATGTTTTAGATCCCTAATTATTGGCCCTGTTGTGTAGGTATGGAACCATGATTTCTATTGGCGATCAATGAAACCTGGCGGTGGAGGCAAGCCCCCGGAACGTCTTCTCAAGTTTATAAACAGGGACTTCGGATCCTATGACGGCATGATCAAACAATTCATGGATGCCGCACTAACTCAGTTCGGTTCTGGATGGGTTTGGCTTTCTTGTAAGTGATGCTTAAACCCACATTTGTTAGCTGCGTCTACCAGTTTCAAAACTTGCTCCAAGTGGTGTGTATGTGATGGAACTGAACTCTGCTCTGTAACTGGTTCTAGACAAGGGGAGCAAGTTACCTCATGTGAAGTCAAAAAGCCCAATCCCATCCGACAATTATGGTAGGCTGGTCATCTCAAAGTCTCCGAATGCTATCAACCCTCTTGTCTGGGGCCACTCTGTGAGTCCTGCAACTGTTTTTCCCTGTATCATCATGCAGTGTATACTGTGCACTACCTCATTTTGGAAGCTTTGTATTGCCTCTTATTATTTGTTCCTTTGACAAGAAAATATTTCCATTTATAAAAAAATCTATTGTCTGTCTCTCCCATGCATACTATATATTCTACGGTGATCTGATATTTTTATCTGTCTATTCTTGTTGGCAGCCACTCCTTGCGATTGATGTTTGGGAGGTATGTACACATCATTCATTTTCTTTTCCGTGCATTTTCCTTAATAAAGGTTAACTTCACTAACAAATTTTCTGGTTCCGGAACAGCATGCCTACTACCTGGATTATGAGGTTAGACACCAATGGTGCTCATGATTTCTAGTGGTTATATTTGCCATATTCGCAACTTAGTCTGTTCTTGTTACATGACTGCAGAATCGAAGGGCTGAGTACGTCTCTGCAGTTCTAGAGAAGCTCGTGTCATGGGAAATGGTGGAGTCCAGGCTCCGGAAAGCTGTTCTGCGAGCAATAGAGAGAGACGGCCACACCAGCCCGAAGCAGCGAAGGAAGCAACTTCTGTCTCAGGCTAGAAGCCGCGTTGGGGATGCAAGCACCAGCGGTGAGGCAAGAAGGCGACCAAGAAGTAAGGATCAGCAGGCCCCTTCCAGCGTGACAATGGTGCCAGCAGGTGAGGCGGTACCAAACTGAGCCATGCGCCCATGAGATTGGCGACCAGTAGCACGGGCAGGCAGCTAGAGCAGCATGTCCAAAATCCTCTAGAACGGTAGTCTCTGAAGAACGCGTCCACCACACTACAGGCGTCACTTTGCTTCGTGCTGACCATTGTAGCACGATCTGCACGCGGTAGTTTTTGTCAGATGCTTGTCGAGCAGAAGTGTAGTAGTATGTCTGTACTGCTTGAGCAACACGCAGCAATGCTGGATAGGCTGAATTTTCGTAAGTAGCCCCACCCAGGGTTTGATGTCCTGTATTTTTTTAGAGATAGGCTTCTTAGGAGGTGGGCACTTAGGACTCTGGTCTTTGTAGAAGAGGAACCAGAGTTTCTGTCTCTTTTTGGATCATAAATATCAGCAATTTCCTTTTGATGCTCACAAGATTGTTCCTCCTAATCGGGTCCAACTGAGAAGAGGAATCATTTGGTCCATCTCTACCCAACTATATTGCCGCCAGATGCCCAGATGTCCAGATGTCTGTGTTATGGATCCATGCATCCATGTTGATCTATCTGTCCATCTATATGCAATCAAGCAACCCAACCGAGGACAAGATTCATTTGGCTGGCAAAAAGAGAGCGGGAACGATTTGGCGGATTAATCCCTTCTATTTGATTGACCAGGATCTAGTTCTTTTTTTGTGCGAAATTTTAATTTGGTCTTAAGTGTGTGGGTATTTATAGTTGAAATTACCTGTTTTATGGCAGGGAAAACGTTTTCATCATTTGAAATGTATGCCACAGTTCCATATATCGAGCAAAAGCATGTTGCCCGTATTGTAAATCTGTTTCTCCATATGTTTCATCTTTTATGTGATACATGCATTTCTGGCCTCTATATAATTTAGAGAAAAGTATCTTTTCCGTTCCTTAATTAATTGCGAAGTGTGGAATTCGTCCCTGAATTATGAAACCGATAACATGCACCTGAAGCTAGCGATGGCGCTCAAGGAAGTGAACGCTGAAGAAACGCGACGAAGCCTGGTTCGACGATCAGCCGGCCGGACTCGCCCAAAAACGAGGGAGACAGGAAAGCCTTCCCAAAATAGCCGCAATCGTCCCCAAGCCCGCTCCACGCCACCCACGCCGCATGCCGCTCGACCGTCCGTCGCCACCACCGCCGGAGCATCGCGACGTCCTCGCCCGCCCCCCAAGAATAGCCGGCGTGCTCCGCATATAAACGCTACACACGACGACCGCGCAAGCAAACAAGCATCCATCGCCAAGGCACCTCCAGCTCCCAAGCACCCAGCAAGCCAACCGGCCACATGGCTCGCGCCCTCTTCATCGTCGCGCTCCTCCTGGCCGCCGTCGTGGTGGCGCCGTTCGCGCAGGCGCGCAACGTGGTCACGGAGGACAAGAAGGCCGCCGCGAAAGAGGAGAAAGAGGCTGAGTCGCCGGCGCCCTCGGCTGTCTCGCCCGCCGAGGGGCCCGCCTCCGGGCCCTCCGCGGGTGCGCCCGAGCCTAGCAGCTCTGGCTGAGCGGCCTACCCGCCCCCGGCCTGGCCGCCGGACAGAGATCGGTCTACGAGTGGACCGCCGATCCGTCCGCGGATGATAGATCTGTGTAATGTGTTGTGTGGTTTATTTTTCAGGGTACATACATGAGCGTCAATGTTTTTGATAGAATATTGCTTTGTCAACATTTCATGAAATTTCTGACGCTCAATATGTTCCACTTTCTAACCAAGGTTGTGTCAGAGGTCTTAAGAAATTTTATGGATTGTTCCAGCTTTAGATATACTAGTATTTTAGTAATTCCACTTTCTGCCCCTCAAGTTTCAGGTTTGTGACAAATATTACTCCAAATCAATTTTCAAAAGTATTATAAACATTATTAATAATATTCTCATCATAAAGCTCAAATAAATCCTCAATATCACAAGAAGCATCATAATTAACTCCCCAATCATGATTATCATAATAAATAGTAAGCATAATAAAATCATCTTCAATAGTGCCTCATCAAGTGCATCATCTTCATCACTTGATTCATAAAGATTATCATGTTTGTCAGAATAATATTTTTCTTTTATAGCTTTTCTTCATTAGTAGGGGGCAAAAAATATCATGCCTGGTACCCGTAGACCAAATAGGGCAGTGTAGCACTTTCACAGAAGTATCCCAATGAGTAATCGTCCCAACAAATAGCGGATGAGAGTATTCATGAAGGCGTTTCTGTCACACACAAGGTGTCACAGTTCTTGTGTGAAGTATTGCTTGAGCTTCTGCAAATACTATTAATGTCCTGGGTAAATGATAAACTAAAGTATGCTAGTAAACAGAGGATTTAAAGGTGACTACTAAATAACTACTAAAAGTAAATAACAAGAGCTTAAAATATAAATGGTCTTTCCTACAATGAAGAGATTAGGTGTGGAGAGATTTTTGTTCATGGTAAGAATATATGAATTGTGCCAGTATGACGGTAATACCAATTACTTTGTATTGTATTCATAATATTTTGAGCATACTCATGTGACTGCCAGCGCGCCTAGGTCACATGCTGCAACATACAAGGGTAGAAAGCACTACACAAATAAGAATGTTCTTACTGTTGTTGACTTTGATATGAAGTTCACATATGGGTTAGCTGGCTGTGGGAAGGATTAGTCCATGATAGTAACATTCTATCTGACAACATGGCTCAAGCTAATGGCATCAATATCCCCGATGACAAGTTCTACCTAAGAGATGCTGGCTATGCATGTCGCCCTGGTGTTCTTCCACCCTTCAAGAAAACCATGTACCATCTGAACGAGTTCTCTTCTAGCTTCTATCCTAGTGCTGATAGGAATTGTTCAATCTCATACACTTAAGCCTTAGAGTTACGGTTGAGAAGGAATTTAAAGTTCTAAAAATAGATTTAAGATCCTAAATCAGAAGCCATTCCACACTTTTCCCTCCCAGATTAAGCTTGTCCTTGCATGTTGTATCCTCCATATCTGGACCCTATAATGGTTTCGTTGGGGAACGTAGTAATTTCAAAAATTTTCCTACGCACACACAAGATCATGGTGATGCATAGCAACGAGAGGGGAGAGTGTGTCCACGTACCCTCGTAGACCGAAAGCAAAAGCGTTAGCACAACACGGTTGATATAGTCGTACGTCTTCACGATCCAGCCGATCAAGTACCGAACGTACGGCACCTCCGAGTTCAGCACACGTTCAGCTCGATGACGTCCCTCGAACTCCGATCCAGCCGAGCTTTGAGGGAGAGTTTCGTCAGCACGACGGCGTGGTGACGATGATGATGTTCTACCGACGTAGGGCTTCGCCTAAGCACCGCTACGATATTATCGAGGTGGACTATGGTGGAGGGGGGCACCGCACACGGCTAAAAGATCAATGATCAATTGTTGTGTCTCTGGGGTGCCCCTGCCCCCGTCTATAAAGGAGCAAGGGGGGGGGGAGGCGGCCGGCCAGGAGGAGTCCTACTCCCACCGGGAGTAGGACTCCCTCCCTTCCTAGTTGGAGTAGGAGAAGGGGGAAGGAGGAGGGAGAGAGGAAGGAAAGGGGGGCGCTGTTGGGGAACGTAGTAATTTCAAAAAATTTCCTACGCACACGCAAGATCATGGTGATGCATAGCAACGAGAGGGAAGAGTGTTGTCTACGTACCCTCGTAGACCGGAAGCGGAAGCGTTAGCACAACGCGGTTGATGTAGTCGTACGTCTTCACGGCCCGACCGATCAAGCACCGAAACTACGGCACCTCCGAGTTCTAGCACACGTTCAGCTCGATGACGATCCCCGGACTCCGATCCAGCAAAGTGTCAAGGATGAGTTCCGTCAGCACGACGGCGTGGTGACGATCTTGATGTTCTACCGTCGCAGGGCTTCGCCTAAGCACCGCTACAATATTGTCGAGGATTATGGTGGAGGGGGGGCACCGCACACGGCTAAAAGATCAATGATAAATCGTTGTGTCTATGGGGTGCCCCCTGCCCCCGTATATAAAGGAGTGGAGGAGGGGGCCGACCAAGGAGGGTGGCGCGCCCTAAGGGGGAGTCCAACTCCCACAGGGAGTAGGACTCCCCCTTTTCCTATTAGGAGTAGGAGAGGGAAGGAAGAGGAAGGAGGGAGGAAGGAAAGGGGGGGGGGGCTTCCCAATCCGGATTGGGCTTGGGGGGGGGGCCCTCCCTTGCTCCTTTCCCCTCCTTTCCACTAAGGCCCAATAAGGCCCATATACCTCCCGGGGGGTTCCGATAACCTCCCGGTGATCCGGTATTGTCCCAATCTCACCCGGAACCTTTCTGGTGTCCAAATATAGTCGTCCAATATATCAATCTTTATGTCTCGACCATTTCGAGACTCCTCGTCAAGTCCGTGATCACATCCGGGACTCCGAACAACCTTCGGTACATCAAAATATATAAACTCATAATGAAACTATCATCGTAACGTTAAGCGTGCGGACCCTATGGGTTCGAGAACAATGTAGACATAACCAAGACACGTCTCCGGTCAATAACCAATAGCGGAACCTGGATGCTCATATTGGCTCCCACATATTCTACGAAGATCTTTATCGGTCAGACCGCATAACAACATACGTTGTTCCCTTTGTCATCGGTATGTTACTTGCCCGAGATTCGATCGTCGGTATCTCAATACCTAGTTCAATCTCGTTACCGACAAGTCTCTTTACTCGTTCCGTAATACATCATCTTGCAACTAACTCATTAGTTGCAATGCTTGCAAGGCTTTAGGTGATGTGCATTACCGAGAGGGCCCAGAGATACCTCTCCGACAATCGGAGTGACAAATCCTAATCTCGAAATACGCCAACCCAACAAGTACCTTCGGAGACACCTATAGAGCACCTTTATAATCACCCATTTACGTTGTGACGTTTGGTGGCACACAAAGTGTTCCTCCGGTAAATGGGAGTTGCATAATCTCATAGTCATAGGAACATGTATAAGTCATGAAGAAAGCAATAGCAACAAACTAAACGATCAAGTGCTATGCTAA